AATATGGTCCAAGCCGAAAATTTTGGGATTTAAGCACATAAAATCCCATATTAATAATAGAATCAAAATATAGAATTCATCTCTTTTTTAAGTTAAATTACGGGAAATCCAGTTTCAGACCATTGGTGCTGAATTGGATGTAGAAATAGAGTCAAGTTTGATAGAAATCATAGAAAAAGAAACCCAAGTTGTTACTTTATTGATAGGGTTTGGGACCGACCATGACCTTGTGGGGAATTCAATTTCATTCAAGTCAAATAAAATCAGGGGGAATTCAATGAGTACCCCATGGGCCACGCCTCTAAAATGGTAGTCCCACTTCCCTAAGTAACACCTCCCATGGGCAATGCAACTTTTTTAGCTAAAAATAAAAAAATGAAGCACACTTGTATTAAATGCAATGGCTTATGGATTTCCGAATGAACAACCTTTTAAGTTATGTTTGGTGAAAATCCCAGAGGGCCTATTGGCTGTTAATCAGTCATTTTGAGTTGTCTGTTTTAGCCTCTTTTAGATAACTTATCCGGACCATCTCAAAGTGAAAAAACTTTGGCCCTTATGCAGAAACTTCTTAGGCATAACATGTTAGCTTCAATATTTCTTTTGAGCAAAAAGACAAATAGAACACTAAATGGGTTAACTTGTCATAATTAAGGCTGCATTTGGCACTCCTTATTTTAAGGATTTATCTTAGTTTTTATGTTAAAAACTCAATATTTATAGGAGCATTTTAACTGCAGAAATGAGATAAGTCCTTAAAATAAGGAATGCCAAATGCAGCCTAAGAATGTTCCCAAAATTCTTATTAATGTTCAACTCAATCCTCCTAAATAGGCACTATGTATTCCCATTTATCAGCATATATAAAAATTTATATTTTCTTGTATTTATGAATCATTTACTTAGACACCTCTAAAGTTTTACATATTTACTAAAACCTACCTCATATTTTGTGTATTATTAAAGCACCCCTTATAATTTGCAATTATTTTACCTAGAACTGTCAACGGGTCGAGTCTACCTGATAGACCCGAACTGTTTATAATGGTTCTGGTTCTATGAATCATTATGATGGATTGGTTTCGGTTTTGATTTTTTCTGTCCCGATTATTATATTTTACATACTTTGTTATTTTACACGTTAAGTATATTGCATATCTAACATTGTAATTTTAGGCAGGTTTAAAACCTAAAACCCTTTCCATTTTCTGGTTCATCACATTTAGTGATAATAGGTTATTGAATAAAATATTTTATTCTTATAAGAAATATAGGTCTTAACTCTTAATTACTAACCGGATTTTTTTTGTTTAATCAGGTCCAATCAGATTAGACCCGATTGTCTCAATTCCGATTTTGAAATAATAGAACCGACTAAGTCTGATTCAATTCTAATAATTCAGAATGATTCTACCCTATCCCGAACCAATTTTACCTAATCCGGACTGTTGACAACCCTAATTTTACCTAATCGATCCAACATCAAGGACCATTTGTATTTCCGTTCACAAATGGTCAATCATCTATTAAATAAATGAAAAATGTGAAATGGCATAGGTTCAGATTTTTATTCCAATAATGCCCCCTAAAAGTTCTCATAACACACGTAATCCACACCTTTCCACACCAAGTTATAACGTGGGGGAAAGGTTTTGCTTCCCAAAAAGTTAGTTGTGTTTTCACATATTGAATTGGACACATGCCCTTTTACATTTTCCACTCGTTCTAAGATGTCATTTGACCATTCCAAAATTAAAATACAAATGCTGCCGACCGAAGGTAGATTAAATAAAACAGCTAAAGATTGTAGGGGTGTGTTAAATAATGCTTAAAGTATAGGATGGATTTTAATAAATACATAAAACATGTTTTAGTAGGTGGGTATCCAACGGTCCAATTAAATACTCTTCCCTCCTTTCCTTATTTTTTTATTTTAAATTTTAGATTTAAATATAATATATAATTAAAAAATGGATTCTCGAAAATATCTGTAAACATGTTGATGTAACTGTTTTCGGTCACATATCATTTTTTTTTTGCTAAGTACCTCATCATCCCGTCTACTCCCAGGTGGCCGGTGACTCAAAGGCTGAAGTGGAGCTCCCTAGTGTAGTGCAATCCGGCTGCTCCCGAGCTGGAGACGATATGCTCATCTTTGTAGACGGCGGGAACTAGTTGCCTGCAAGAACTGGATCAGAGAATCCGGGGTGGCTTACCTGGCGGGGACACTTCGATGGCTAAGTCAGTAAACTGTGATGCGAGCTGAAAAGCTTTGAGAGCTAGAGAGGTAGAGAGGTAGAGAGCAGAGGTTACCATCCTTCTCTTTTTTTGCCTACCTTCGCCCCTGGGGGGTGAGGTCTTTATATATTGGAGTTCTCATGGGTTTGGTGGAGCAGTTCCTGGATTCCTGCTGTGATGGGACCTGCTTTCGTGTTAGGTGGGGATAAAGCCACCAACCGGTAAGGTTGCCCATCTCCGCCTGAATTGGGGAGTGGGTGAGCTAATATAGCCGTTATAAGTCACAATCCCGTAAAATGCGGGGTACGGTGGTGAGCTCCTCGGGGTTGTCATGCGGTGGTCAGTTTGACTAGGAAGCGAGCTGCCTGTGAAGTGCCGAGCTGCCTGTAAGGTGCTAGATTACATGATGGTGAGCTACCTATGGCGAGCTACCTGGTTGTCACGAGGCTGCACCTAGTTGTCACGAGGTGTCAGGTGTCACAATGTCATTGGAGGGCCAAATCCGCCCTCATCATTTACCCCCCACTCCCGAGCTGAAGATAACTCGGCGAAGGGAGTAGATTTCTCATTTTGGCCCATAATTTGATGAGCTCGTAAGCGCTGATTCAGTTTCTTAGGCTCTGGGAGCGACTCGCAGTCCACTCTTGGATTTTGCCCATGCCGAAGAGGTGATTGTGTCTTAAGTGGTGCCAAGGTCTTTGCCAGTTCGATACTTTAGCCCTAGGTTCTAGGAGCGACTTATAGTCCATTCTTAAACTTTGCCCATGCCGAAGAGGCGACTGGGTCTTAAGCAGTATTGTAGCCCTTAGGCTTTGGGAGTGACTCATAGTCCACTCTTGAACTTTGCCCATGCCGAAGAGGCGACTGAGTCTTAAGCAGTATTGTAGCCCTTAGGCTTTGAGCGCAACTCATAGTCCACTCCTGAACTTTGCCCATGCTGAAGAGGCGATTGGGTCTTGAGCAGTATTGTGGCCCTTAGGCTTTGGGAGCGACTCATAGTCCACTCCTGAACTTTGCCCATGCCGAAGAGGTGACTGGGTCTTATGCAGTGTCGAGCTGCCTGTGAGGTGTTGAGCTGACCAGGTGTCGAGCTGCCTGTGAGGTGTCGGGCTGACCAGATGTCGAGCTGCCTATGAGGTGTTGGGCTGACCAGGTGCCGGGCTGCCTGTGAGGTGTCGAGTTGACCATGTATCGAACTGCCTGTGAGGTGCCGGGCTGACCAGGTGCTAGGCTGCCTGTGAGGTGTCGAGCTGACCAGGTGCCGAACTGCCTGTGAGGTGCCGGGCTGCCTGTGAGGTGTCGAGCTGACTAGGTGTCGGCTGCCTGTGAGGTGTCGAGCTGACTAGGTGTCGGCTGCCCTGATGAGCTTCGTTGCTCTTTAGAGACCTGCAAGGAACTAAATGTCAGAGGACACGGGGTGGCTAACTCGGTGAGGTCGCTCCGATGCTTAAGTCAATACTATCATAGTAGATTGCGAGCTAAAAATCACAGTCTAAGAGCTAGAACTTGCTTACTTGCTTCTGAGGTTGGTGCTTTTATACAGGCATTGTTTGGCGTGGGCTTCACGCACCATATCCGAGATCTCTGTGAGGTCGTCTAAGTGGTTCGAGATTCCTGGAGGTAACCACCATGCACGTTGACCACCCTCCAGATCGCTTGGCACGTGGGCCAATTTCCAAGGATCGTGGGAGTGTTTGGATATGCATGCCTAATTCGTCGGCGAGCACGTCCTGCAAGTCGCCAGGTCGCGCCTGTGCCAGGTCGCCAGGTCGGTGCCTTAGAGCTATGATTGCACTACATCAACCTCGTGGTGTCGGTCACCCACTCCTACAAGAAGCTGCTAGGAGCTCGACTAACAGGGGCAGCACTACTGACTTTAGGTCGCCAGCTCGCACGGGAGCCTTGGAAGGCTCGACCAGCAAGGGCGCCCATGTAGTCTGTTGGCCGCCAACTCCCGCGGAAGCCATGAAGAGCTCATCTTTGTAGAGGGGACCTCGCAAAGAGGACTGATGAGGTTTTATTTTCTAGGAGAAGAGGACTTAGCTTTTTGTAAGATGAGAACTTAGCTTTTGCAGAATGAGAACTTAGCTTTTTGTAGGATGAGAACTTAGCTTTTGTAGAATGAAAACTTAGCTTTTTGTAGCGTATTCCCACAGACGACGCCAATTGATGTAACCGTTTCCGGTCACGTATCATTTTTTTTTTGGCTAAGTACCTCGTCATCCCGTCTGCTCCCAGGTGGCTGGTGACTCAGAAGCTGAAGTGGAGCTCCCTAGTGTAGTGCAACCCGGCTGCTCTCGAACTGGAGACGATCTGCTCATCTTTGTAGACGGCAGGAACTAATTACCTGCAAGAACTGGATGAGAGAACCCGGGGTGGCTTATTCGACGGGGACACTCCAATGACTAAGAGAGCTAGAGAGGTAGAAAGCAGGGTTACCATCCCGCCTTTTTTTTGCCTGTCTTCGCCCGTGGGAACAGTTCCTGGATTCTTATGGGAACCTGCTTGTGTGATGTTAATGCAATACACATACATTTTTTTTTGTACTTAACACAAGAAACAACAAATATTTTTTTTTTCTACTTAAAAAAAAGCCGTTGACTAATCAGTAAGTGAATAGCAGCCGTCCGATCAAAGGCGGCTGGTGTTCTAGCTCTCCATCTTATTGTCACGCGGTCCCGCGCGTTATCGTACATCCTCAATTCCTCATAGCCTCTGTCTAGTCGTAGAAAACGGTTTATATATTTTTCGTATAATAATAAGACTACATAAGAGGTTGATCATTCTTTATCGGAACTACAGATCAGAGAGAGAGAAACCACGACGACCAACAAAGAATTGTAGTTGAAGAAGAAGAAGAAGAGGAGACGCCCAAGAAATGCAAGGAGCTGCTGCTGCTGATTCGGGGATGTCTAATGGCCCTCGGAACATGAACGCCGGTAACCCTTCGGATTTTCCGGCCATTCGGACGCATGATGGCCGCTTCATCCAATACAACATCTTCGGTAATCTGTTTGAGATCACGTCCAAGTATCGTCCCCCGATAATGCCCATCGGACGAGGCGCTTACGGAATTGTCTGGTAATCACTTTCTCCTCTTCTTTTCTTTTTGGCTAACAATAAAGATGAATTCGATCTTTTGAATATTTTGATATGGAAAGCAGAAAAGAAAATCACCCCCCTCCCCCCCCAAAAAAAATCTGTTATTTGTGTAGCTTGTAGGTTTTGACTTTTTTGTCCGAACTACAGAGAACTTTTAGTCATCTTCTTATTGGCTCTTCCTCTGTTGTGTGATTCTAGCTCGGTAATGAATTCGGAGACCAACGAAATGGTGGCCATCAAGAAGATAGCTAATGCTTTTGACAATCACATGGATGCCAAACGTACACTTCGTGAGATTAAGCTTCTTCGACATTTGGATCACGAGAATGTATGCTGACTTACTTCAACTCTGTTTAATGGTGGTGTCTGTTAGTTCTCGTTATTTCTTTGTTTTTTTCCTCTTTGTTCCCTTTCTTGTCGTAGCTGTCTTGTTCTTCTTCTTTTCTTGTTATCTTCTCTGTTGTGTTTTTGCTTTGTCTTAATGAAATTTCTGATTACCAAAAAAAAAAGAGACTTCCTTCAACTCTTTTCATTTGATTGCTCGAATTCGAAATGGCAAAAATATGTTTTCTTACTTTTGTGGTTAGATGTATATCATCAAATGTATCTTTTTTTTTTTTTTGAATATCTTTTAACCTTCTAGCTTATGATTTCTAATGGATAGTACTTTCTCCTCTTTTATTCGCAATGTAAATCTTATCGTAACTGTAACATATAACATACTGATCTTGGTCTAAAATGTCAGTTACAAAGAAAAAGGGTTTTTATCTATTCCATTAACAAGTCAGTTTTTGCCGTTAGTTTATTTTTTCTAATCCATATCTAGATGTTAGGAATTTATGAATTTCATTTTCTGAAAGTCATATGGAATAGCTCCAATAACTTGTAGCTAAAATGAGAGATAATAGGTTAAAATGGTTTGGTCACGTGCATAGAAGACCACCAGCAGCTCCTTTGTTACAAGTGGAAGGAACTAGAAGAGCTAGGGTAGATCAAAAAAGACATGGGTACACTAATAATTTACAGTTGGTATGGTTTTAAATAGAATGAGTGGCGAAACAGGACTCATGTAGCCGATCCCATATAGTTGGAATAGGGAATGGATGATGATGATGATTTTCTGAAGTCATATATATTCTTTACCAAGAAAAAATAATTGATATTGATACTTGTTTTCATTATAATTTAGTAGTTATAGCAGTGAAGTTGTTGTTGTCAGGTCTCATCCTAGTTGGATCTGTTGTATGTGAAACAGGTTATCGCCATAAAAGATGTAATTCCACCACCTATACCAAGAGCATTTTGTGATGTCTATATTGCTACTGAACTTATGGACACTGATCTTCACCAAATAATTCGTTCAAACCAAGAATTGTCAGAGGAGCACTGTCAGGTAAATTTCTTTGGCCATGCATTCTTGGTCTGATCATTCAATCCTCTCATATACAAATCGAGATGGTTTAAAACTAATATTGTCCCAATAATTGTCCTGCTTTCCAGTATTTCTTGTACCAGATCCTGCGTGGGATGAAGTACATACATTCTGCCAATGTTATTCATAGAGATTTGAAACCCAGCAACCTCTTGCTTAATGCAAATTGTGACCTGAAGATATGTGATTTTGGGCTAGCTCGACCAACTTCAGAGAATGAGTTTATGACAGAATATGTTGTCACCAGATGGTACAGGGCACCGGAACTATTGTTGAACTCCTCAGACTACACTGCTGCAATTGATGTGTGGTCAGTGGGCTGCATATTTATGGAGCTCATGAATAGGAAACCATTATTTCCTGGTAGAGATCATGTGCATCAGATGCGTCTATTGACAGAGGTAAGATGATGGTTTTGAACATTACTTACAATTTGGGGGGTCTGATCATCTACTACCAAAGTGAAATATTTCTGGCCTTTACTTTTGAACTATTGAAAAGCAAACGCAAGTTAGTACTTAGGAGTTAGAATTCCTTGTAACCAATATATCAATTTTACTTCAGGGTTATGAGCAAAGTATATGCACTTGATGTACATAACACCTTTTATTTTATTTTTTTTTTGGGGGGGCGGGGGGGTTAGTGAGCTACACAACAGGGGGTAGCCCTCCCCCAAACGAATTCGGCTTCGGTCAGTGCAATCCCGTGCCGACACTGTTCGAACAGCCTCTTGCAACCTTACATTGGGAATATCTCCCCATGAAATAAAGCACATAAGTATGGAGATATTCCCAATGCAAGGCTGTAAAGGCTGTTCGAACAGGTGTTGCACTTACCGAAGCCTAACTCCCCCCAAACCCCTAGACCCCCAACCTAGCTGATGGCAGAACTGGATCCCAGGTCTCTGCACATTAGAATTTTATCTCTTGGATTAGAAATCTCATATGAGTTAAGAAACCAAATGGAAATAATGATAAAGAAAACTGTGGTTCACTTACGTGGTTATTTTATGATTTAATGCTTTATTCAGTATTAGGATGAAGTTGCATTGTATGTTGTGAGCAGTGATAGTCAATGAATGAGTGCTTACTCATGGTTATATACTTTTCAGCTTCTTGGCACACCCGCTGAAGCAGAGCTTGGGTTTGTTAAGAATGAAGATGCAAAAAGGTACATCAGACAACTCCCTCTACATCCTCGGCAGTCATTTGCCCATGTGTTCCCACATGTTCATCCAGCTGCAATTGATCTCATTGAGAGAATGTTGACATTCGACCCCACCAAAAGAATTACTGGTAACTTTCTTTCCTTCTTTCAAGCTAGTTGGTGCTTGCAACCTCATTTTTTTGCACATTATGGGAATTTCATAGATAAAACAACTTTATATACATTATGCTCGTCTTTCTAATAAAACTCTGGTTGTTCAGTTCTGTCTGGATATTGTTCAAAGTATGACTTTGTTTTGTCATTTAAGGTAAATTTTAAAATTTAGTGCTCTTTTTGCATATGAATAGGGTGGCAGTACAAGCCATTAAATGACCTTTACACCTTTACAAGCTTCCTGTCCAACTTATTATTCTCCAGATGGGGTGCGAGGTTATTATCAAATGGTCACTGATGCACTTACCTAGTGAAGTAGCAAGAAGTAGAGAACTATAATATGTTGTTTTGAATCAAGCTTGTTGATTAAAACAGCTACACAATTATGGTTGTGCACATTATTTCTAAATGGTTCTCTTGTTCCAATAGTCTCCACTATCCATCTCAAAATGGTATTGCGGAGAGGAAATTATCCAATAATATCCAGTGGACAAACATGTCCGGTTCTCTTTATGCCACGAGAAGACCTACATGTCATCTTGATATGCTATTGTCTCCCTGGGTTGTAAGCAAATGACACCAATATAAGACTTACAGATGGAAGTAGGATAGTATTGTACACTATTACACCCCAGTCCCCAAGCGAAGATACAGAGGGTTGATATTTTAATTTTCTTGTTGCATTCTTGCTTATTATATTTCAAGTATCTGAATGCCAAATTGGTTTACTCTGCAGTTGAAGAAGCGCTAGCTCATCCTTACCTTGAAAGATTGCATGATATAGCTGATGAGCCCGTTTGCCCAGAGCCATTCTCCTTTGAGTTTGAGAAACAAGCCCTAGTGGAAGAGCAAATGAAGGAGATGATATACAGAGAGGCCTTAGCCTTCAATCCAGAGTATGCAATATGGTAAGTCTGGTAGACTTTGTTTTATAGACGGTAAAAATGGTCTTCGAATACAAATAGAGAAATGGGGGCACACAAACAAGAAATAGCCACCCTTCTTACAACAAGTCCTATATGGTAAGCTTTGTATGCAAGGGCTATCAGAATCCAATTGGCGAAGTCAGAATTGCAGATCAAATGGTTGTTGTGATCATTCTGTCTAGTTGAATTTGTGGGGTTCACTGTTTGCGTGTCATGCATGATTATAGCCTGTCATGCCATCTATAATCAGACTTGCACCTCTACAAGAGCAACAAGTGATTTTTTATGATTTTTTTCTCGTGTGTTTGTGACGGTACTTGGGCCTTTTATATTGCCTAAATTGAAATTCATATCCTGTGATGTATAAGGTAAATATAATGTAGACTAATGTAGTTGATGACTTGATGTGTATGGATTTACCTCTTGAATCGAAAATGACTATGTGACAAAAATATGTCAGTGTGGAATAAAACACTTGTTCTTTTGTTCATAAAACTCAAGCTCTTGTAGCTTTTCTTTCTTTATCTTTCATAAACTATGTTAGAAAAGTGAAGAAAAACTAGCAGAAATCCTTATTGAAAAAGTAAAGATGCTGACTGCCTTCTTCGTGGTGGTCCTTCTAATCAGTGTTTTCAAGCTGTCATTGACCCAGTCAGTTGAACCAGTGATTCTGGGTTTTGACAGTTTTGAAGCAGCCCTGTTGAAACCTACTACCCGCCTAGCTTTCTAGGTTGGTGATGGATGGTTTGGTTTTTAAAAAACACTGCTTGTAATTGTACTTTAGCTATCCAATTGATTGGCGACCTTCGTAGTCCATTTATCTGCAAAGCTAGAGTTTCCTATTCATCTTTTCTCTTTGGTTTCTCCTTTGAATGGTTAATAACATGTGATCACTGTCATGCAGCTAGTCATCTGCTATTCATTCCCCAAGTCAGCAACCGAATTAGAAACAGGTAAAACTAAAGGGGAGGTAAAATAGAAAATGATCCTCTACTAGTGTTGCATAATGACCAACCCTTCATTAATTACAAGGTTAGGCTTGAGGAGTGAGGACAAGTACAACAGATTGCATAATAAGTAATAGGTTCAGGATCAGAGTTTCCAAGGTCTGTCAATGGGTTGGCTGTGGTCTGGGTCAGGGTAGATCCCGTCCTAAGTGGATAAAATAGACAGAGACCCAGTGCCACTGCAGTACACAGACCATATAAAGTCTGAAGTAACAGAATGAATAGAACCAATCCTGTAAGGCTATTACTAATCGGACAGGACAGGCCTTTAGGCGGGTAAATTGACAATAAACCTGCACATTCTCTGGCTCTCTCTTTTCAGACATTTAGACATCTTATATACAAAGTTATTAATGGTAAGACATGAAAAATATATAAATTATATGTACATATAATTCGGTTAATACAAAAAAAAGGTTCAGTTGGAACAGGTAAAATTAATCGAGTCCCTGACCCTATCATTAGTCGGGATTCAAAATGCAGACCCAGATCGATCCTATATATACAAGAGGGTCAGAACCGATGAGTCAATCTGGACCATTGATAGCCCTAAAGTTTCCACATCACGGTGCAGTTTGAGAAAACTTAAGCCCAAGGTTTTTCAAAATTTAGTTTTTGGGGAGTTAAAAACATGTTTTTTCCATTGAAAAAGAGTAGGGTCGCGAAACACCTGAAAACAGGCGTATCGGGACCCAAAAGATACAATACAATATGTCCGTATCGAAATTTTGAACCTTGCTTAAGCCCACCTCTTTCATTGAAACTGTAGTTGGAATTTGATCAATCAAAAGCTTTGGTGTACTTCAGAGGTATCATGGAATGAGCTCCTTCTATCCAGTTGTCAGCTCTCGGTGTGGTGTGTAAAATGAAAGGTAAGTGCTTCAGAAAGCAGGTGGTTACCAACCTGTTTAACTCCCTCCTCTCAGCTAGCATGAATCCCCTTGGATTCCTCTTAAAGCACGTTTTCATGCAAATTGCAAATGAGAAATGACTTCTCTCCCCAACAAACGAAAAACAAAAACTGACCAACTCTTCATCCAAGAACGATAGCCAAAATTGTGATGCTTACAAAGGAGCCGGCTGAAGATAAAAGAGTTGAAAACAGGACCATGCGGGAAACAGTTGACATTGTCTGGGTTGGTAGGAGTAGGACTCACTCAGTCTGTCACATATATTAAAGGGAGATAAAACTAAATCTCCCCACCAATTTAGATCTCTTACCCGCAAGAGCCCTATTCACACTTACCCATTACATCACAACCACATTTGAGAACATTTTCTCTATTTATATGTTATCTTATCATGTGGTGGGTATGGAGAATTTGTCAACAATTTTTCAAATAGAAATAAAATTCAGCAAACCAGATTCCCATAAACTCAAACCTTCAAATCCTTGTCCACACGGGGTTTAAGAAAAGGTATCATTGCCAAAGCACTCACGCCCCTTTTAATCAATAACTGAAAATAATTTGTCGTGTATTGAGAGCATCTCTCGGTGATAGTATTACTTCTGATGATGTCTTCATCTGAAGATGTTCCCAATACTGTGGAAGCGTTGTGAGGCAGATAGATCTCAGATATGATCTATCTTCGTGGCTAAGTTTTATTGCCGGACAAGAACATCTAAGGTTCTAAATATAAGCACAATAAACATGTATTGTTGTAACCCCACTTTGAATTAGGTGAGGTAACGTCTTGGTGGTGGAACCACTGCAATACATCTCTCAGTTGTAGCCCTGCTTGTAACAAAAGTGAAGAGCACAGAACAAATCCTAAAGTGTCCAAGAAGTACACTCTTTGGGTTCAAAGGCGGAGCCCACACAAAAAGGAGAAATCGATTCTCTTTACGTAAAAGCTTGTTATAAAGTTAATGGCACTTTGGTTCAGGCAAGCCATAAACAATGAATTCCTACCACCCACACAGCCAAGACCAAAAAGAATAACTATGAGCTAACATTGGCTGGTAAAGTTCTCCGATCTTAATTAATTATTGAACTGCATATGTGAGGATATTTATCATCTTCTAACAATTAACGCACTCCACCATGGATCACGTACAATAAAGAGAGGTCACATCTCCATTCTCCGCCCCACAACGTCCCACAGTAGGGGTTTTTCACATTAAATGTCAAATCAATCAAATCGATGGTCAAATTGGTCGGTTTTTTTAAATTATCTGTCAGTTTTGGTTTGTATGAGAAAATAAACCGACAATTTGCTTTGGTTTGTTTTTCATACATGAAAATCGAAACCAAACCGAATTAAACCGATCTTATATGTTTTTAAGTAATTATTAATTAGTCCATACCCTATATGTTAAATGCTGATATATTTTATTTTAACTTTGAAAAAAATTGGTTATTTATGATAAAAACTAAAAAGTAAAATCAATACAAATATCATACAACGGTACAATGTTTAATTCAGTTTTGTATAAATTTAAATATATATTGACAAAAAGAAATAAACTTAAATATAAATAGATATTTTAATTTAAAATATATATAAAAATCGACTAAACCAACCCTTCATGTTTGAGTCAGTTTTGTTTCAGGGTCAGTCGGTTTTGGTTTAACCGATTAGTTCAGATCAATTGAAAAAAATGACTCAAACCGACCCGTGAACACCCCTACCCCACAGGAACATTTCCCGATGATGACATCATTGGGGCTGGTACTATCATTGGGAAATGTTCCCAATACACGGCGGGCATGTGTTGTGGGGCGGAGATATGAACTCCAATAAAGAATCCCTCTTCCCTTTGAGCTCTTTTTTTTGTTCAATTATCCTGAACATCTCATCTGATCTCTGTTTTTTTGATAAATTCAAAAGGGATTATACAAGACGGGAGGTAGCACATCCCCAATAATCATTAAAACAAATAAAAGAGATCGATCAAGGGAGGTCGTTAAGGTTATAGAAAACAAATCCGTTAACTGTATAAAGAGCTTAATGAGCTAAACAATCAGCTGCCTGGTTTACTTCATAGAATACGTGATTGTGCGTTAGGCCCTGGTGGAAATAATCTCTCAGCACCCAGAATCCTTGAACAATCCTTCTTAATTAATTAATCTCCACAAAAAATCAAGTTGACGTTGCAGACTTTGAAGCACCAGCTTTGAATTACCTTCAATTATAATGGGTTGATTCATGAGGTTGAGCACCACGCTATGAACTTCGCGTGCTGCCCAAGCCTCAGCCAAATTGATGATAGTAACACCAAGGAAGTAAGCCTCAGCCAAATTGAACACACCTCTCCGCCAATACAAAAGGCATCTGATCAATTAAATTGTGTTTAGGGAGTCTTGTCTCTTCTGTAGATCAAGCCATTGATTGGAGGGTTAGCATGACTTATTGTTGATCACTGTGTAATTGAGAGGTTAAAAACTTGGACATGTTTGATGTAGGACCCACTGCTCTGAATACCCCAAGTGCCAAAAATAAAAAAGAAAAAAAACTACGAATAAATTCAGAAAAGTCCAATTTTGATCCAATTGGCTCTGGGATCAGGGTGTCCACGGATGTAATAGGCTAAAGGGCTGTTTGGTAACAGCTGAACCAAAATACCAAATGGCTTGTTGTTTTATCTTTTAGTAAAGAGGTGTAATAACTAACAACCAATCCAGTTTCAGCTTTAATAGCTTATTCACTAATGTTGTGTTTGGTTTGGAGGAAAAAAGTAGGGAATGGAAGGAAAATGAATGAAAATTTGTACAAATTTTATATAGGTTTCTCTATCTTTTCTTACCTTTTCCTTCAAACCAAATACAGCATAAGAGACAAGCCAATAAATCATTCAGTTTAATTACTTCAGCTATAGTCAAACGGCCCTTGAGATCTATGTTGATGGGTTCTATTTAATTATTCTTTCTTTTCGTTGGAGTTATTGAGTATAACGCATAGTTAATTGAGTGTTAGCTGTCAACGGGATGGGTCTAGGTCGGAACCAGCTGAAATTGAAATCGATTCAACATGAAATGTTGAGGGCCTGGACCCGGATCCGATATAGTTTGTAAATTTTGGATTTGGAATCAAACCGATTGATTCTTAAGACAATCGAGACTGACCTGATAGACCCAATTATAATAAATAAAAAATAAATATTTATATTTAATATATTATATATATAATTTATTTAATATATTATATATTTCAGGTCGAATCTGAATTGGTTCGAGATTAGATGGAACCAATTTCAAACCAATAATAATCGAGACCCTATATCAAGACCTGAAATCGATCCATTGGTTCCAATTCTTAAAATCAGAATCGGTCCAATTGATTCAGATCCATGGGGTCCTCCGTGTCAGACTCGACCCATTAACAGCCCTAGTCTTGATGATATAGATTAGAATATTAATCCCTCCTCTATCTCCATTAATGTGTAACTTGTTAAGCCTCCATGTACCTACAAATTTATCATATATCTCATATATAGTGATTCTTAGCCCAGACAAAGATCAAGCTGCTTTTTTTTAGCAG